CTAATCCTGGTTTAGGCTAAGCCCTGTCTGTGAAACCGGGCCATAATGTCGTAGAATAGAATCTCATGGAATGATACAGTCTGTAGAATAGAATCATAGGTTTCGCACAAGAGATTCTAGAAAGAGACGGCATGTCCTGTACTGACTCATGTTCAGACAGTATGAATCCGTGTAATCGGATCAATGCTGCGTGTATCTCTGCAGTCAGGAACGGCGAGGACGAGTTCAGAGAGTCCTGGAACTCACAATACATGATCGATTAGGCCTTCACGCATTGTTATGGTTAGAAATGTTCTAAATTGTAAGCTATTTGAATCTTTATGGCTATTTCATTTAGAAAGCGCACACTGAAAAAGAAAAAGTTTGGGGTTCAGATTTAACTGGGGTGTTAGTTAAGTTTAATATTTAAGTTCCTCTAAGTTTATCTTTTGTTGCTCTGTTGAAAGTTTTCAGCTAAATGTATATGGTCTCTAAACTTTTAGCTGACCCTCTATAGAGTGGCGTTTGGACTGTTCTTGTGGCTGTTCTTGGGTTTTGACAAAGGCTGTTTTGTGTTTCTGAATGCAGCCAGTCTTCTGCAGGGATTTCTAGGCACCAGACAGAGACTAGCAGCACAGATTTTATGCAGGACTACTGATGGAATGGACAGTGTTAACATCTAGCATGCATGATGGAAGCCCGAGAATGTCATTAATCATGACTCTGAATGTTTTTCTCTAAAGCTGGGCTCACACTACAGGAGTTTTAAAATCCTAACCGATTATGAAATCTGGTTGCAGCACGCACATAAGGAGAGTCTTTGCAGATTATCTTCTCTCAAATCTTAAACATGCACACACTACAAGATTTGAACATCATGGCGCATCACACACTACAAGATATTATGAAGATTATCATGCCAGAGGGAGCTCCTCACGTGATCGCCTCGTGACCAGGGGTGTGTCTACGTGGTGGCCAGGGGTGGCACCGGCCCCTCTGAAATCTGGCTGGCCACCCAAGGTGCCCCCCCCCCCCCTAAATTTTTTTTTGTAAGTTTCTAACTGCATCTGGCAGAGGCGGATCCTGTGTAGGCAGCTGCCTAGGGCCGCTTTCTTCT